CAAACACTATAATCAAGTCTTATATTATGACACATCTTCGATCCAATGAAAAAAAATATTAAATCAGAAAGCTTAAACCATCGAGATTTGATTGCCAGCAGCACTTTTCACAACAAGTTAGACGGGAAACAAAAACAGAGAACAGTTCAAAGTTTGCAGAGTCTAAAGGTGACAAAAAAGCCTGTAGGGGATGCAGTTACGTCCAAAAGTCTTCATACCTCCTGATGATTTAGGGTTACATTTGGTAAGATCTGGGAAGGCTGAGACATTTTTTTTTGTTTTGCCTTTTCCATTAAAAAAACTAAGTGGATACAATAAATTAGTCATAACATAACATTTTTATTGCTCCTATGTGTTTAAATATAATAAGTCTATATTATGTATAATTAGTTCACATTCTTCACAGCTGGATCATAGACGTAAGAAGAATGTTCATATCAAATAGGTTACAATTTAAACATTTCTTGATATTTTAAAGAATTGCAAAGACTTCAGGAATTAATAATACATTTTAAAATTAAAGTTGGATAAAACTTTTCCTGCGTAAATTGATTATCTATTTGGTTTCAATGCATTACGTAATCTTTCAATCTTTTAATTTATTTTTTTTTTCTTTTTATATTTGTCATGAGCATACACCACTGCTGGAGAAAGAATAATTGGCTGGAACATCAAAAATAAATTTTTGGATGAATAAATCTAAACTTTGCTGCAAAAACTGTTTCATGCATTTGTAATTTCTGAGAGATGTGGTCTGATTTAAGAAACCCCATTTGTTTTTATTTTTAATTCTAAGAAAAAAATGGAGAGAATCTAGACTCTATTCTACAAAGGGACAAAAGTTGGTGTCTGCAAAAATGGCATGTGAGTGACAATAGAAACAGTTACTGCTGTCTATTTCTAAATGGTTAAAGTGTTGGACTGATGAGAGTGGACTTCTTGTTTCTTCCTTCACAAACAGGAGTTCAAGTGATTTGAAATGGTCTCTTGCATTTTCAGAGATTTTTCCAACCTTTGTTGCAAATGGATGGTGGTAAAACTGCTAATAATCTGACATAGGTTCGTTTTCTTTAAATGTACAACAAAGCCCAAAAATTATTTTTACCCTGGTATGCCTTTTTTTTTTTTTTTGACCAAGAAATTTGCAAAATACAGAAGAATAAGCTGTCAGTCTTTTTTCTGGCTTTATATCTTGATTTTCTGTGTCAAAAGCAATCAATAGTTTGAAGCGATCGCTAACCATCTCCTTGCATGTTTCCATTGCTATTCTGAAGTTTCTCTTTGGTGATAAGCTCCAAATCACTGTGGCTGGAAAGCCACAGATTCACTGGACCACTCCGAGACATTGACACCAATTCCTTTTAAATAAAAAAAAAAAAAAATTTTTGGTCAAATTAAGATAGTCTTAAACCTAAATCTGTCAGTGGTATGAATAGTTTTGAGTATCCTGAATGCAGAACGGGCAGTATCACTGAAAATGCCTCTGTTTTCAGTGAGAGGCGTTTTCAGGTTTGCTGCAACACTGACTGCTACAGGAGATCCTTCTCGTCCACAGCCACCCATCAGCAGATACAAAAGCCTGAAAAAGCTTGCATAACGCCACATTTCGGAATACATAATTAGCTGAATTATGAAGCAGGAATTGAATTATCCCCCACGACAAAATTACAGTTCAACTGAATATATTCATGCCATCACAATCAGTGGCTTGCAACGACTAATAGGCCATAAACTGTATGTCCCACGTTCTTTCAGCGTCTGGTGTGAGAGCAGTTGGGCGGTGGAACGAGTTTGTTCTCATGTTGATGGATGAGATGTTGTCTTTGTCTGATCCCCATCACGCAACCCGTCTGAAGAGTTGGCCAAGCGGGACTCCAAAAAGTCAAAACACTGAACTGTTACACAGTGCGATTCCCATCTCCTCCAACATCTGCACTCGTTATCAGCCCAAGGCGAATTGAAGTGAGAAAGACTTTGACCTTTGACACATACACACATCGCTCTAGTGGACTCTCATTCCTCAGAGATGAGCTACAGCTTGGGTTTTTGACTTATTTGTTTTTTTGTTTTTTGTCCCGCAGCGGCCGGAGCTTCCTCCGCCGTGGACGACTCAGTGGTTGGAGGTTGTTCTGCAGCGAGCTGCGCGCCTGAGCAGCGTTATCAGATGGAGAGTATTCATCTCCACTGGGGGGGAACAGGACACATTCAGATGGAAGCACGCTAACTCCTTTATCCCGGCGAGGATGCTGCGATACGATCTGGGATCGTGCTGCTGCAGGTCCGACTGTTATCCAGCCACAACAAAGCAGCTGTGGACAGAGGTTAAAAAAAAGAAAACATAAAAAAAAAAACCAAAAATCATGAATATGAGAATGAAAACTGTACTGCAAACAATACTCTGTCTTCTGTCTCCGGATGGATCCTGAATGGAGTGAACACTCATGTTATTTGCATACAACCCCAAAGCAAGTGATCTGACTATTTTTGAAGTAAACGGCAAAATTGCAAACATTCCCCCCACCACACACACACACACACACACACACACACACACACACACACACACACACACACACACACCCATACACACCCCCCCACACACACGCACACACACACACACACACACACACACCGCCCCTTATTCAGGACGCTTTTGTTGCATACTTTCATCTAATGCCTGTCACCGCCAGCAGGGATGGAGAAGTTCCACCTAACATCTAAATACTCAGAGGGACCGAGCTAATTGTGAGCGCAGGGTGTTTGGTGTTTGATGATGGTGATCGGGGTTGAACCACTGATTACTGACTGGGGCGATAATGAGCGGTTGCAGATCGCTTAAAGTAAGCTCTTGTTAAGAGATTTATTTCAGTTTTGTAGTTTTTCGCTTTCTTTTGTTGTTTTATGTTTTCTACGGAGGCCTCCAGGGGACATGGGGATTTATTTTCTTCTTTTGCGTTCCCTCGTAGTACTGCACTGATCAGTTCATGCGGCATCATAGAATACTGTGAGCCTTTCTTACGGTGGCTGTTGCAGTTTCTGCTTTAATATGAGGTTATGTGAGGTTTTTCCATGAATGTCAATATCTCCTCATAAAATATCTGAAGTTTTATATCTTTCTCTTTAGGATAGAAAGGCACCAAGAACCTCTGATGTAAACAGAAACTTTACATAAGTAGGAAATAAACAAAAATACATCCAAACTATTTGGACTATTTCTGAGTTATTATCGCAGGTAATAAGTAATCTGACAGTTTTGATTGTGTCTCTATTGTGTCCGTAGACTGAATGGCTTAAAGGGCCGTTTTCATGTTCATTTTTTATGTATATGTTTGTGGTATATGTCAGATATTTCACCAGGAGATATTAACAGGACCTCACAGTGGAGATTGTATTAAGGCAGAAAGTATGGCGGCCACCATAAGAAGGGCGTACAGTATTCAATTATGCCGCCTAACTGATCAGTAGATTATTGCGAGGGAATGCAAAGGAAAAAAAAGTTCCCATATCCCCTGGAGGCCTCCGTAGTTTTCATGTGTTCTGGCAAATACACAGAAAGGGCAAAGGTGGTTTACTTGTTAATGATGCAGAACAAAACAGAAATACATAAAATATATATATATATACTATTTGGAGGTGCAGTTCCACATACATAAAGATTTCAAGAGGGATCAGGAGTATTAAATACAGGGTTTTGGCAAAATGACTGTTTCCGGTATGACCTGTGTTTCACACCACCGGATTTTACAGCCACAAACTCCAGTGCATGTTGTTGGGATTTTGTGTCATTAAACAAAATCGAAAGACAAATTCAGCTGAATACTTAGAAAGAAGCTCTCAAAAAGCCGCGACAGCAAAGGTGAAGCCGCATGCATGAAATTAGTCTTAACGTTTATTTGGCCATTTTCACCTTTGAACCCCAATTTGACGTTAAATAAATGGGAGGCAACGTTGTCTTTGTGTCTCTTCAACCAAACTTGACTGTAATCAGCAACTTTGGTGTCGTTGACGTAGCAAGAAATTGAATCAAAATCATTTTTACACCCAAAACAATAATGATATCCAAAAAAACCCTCTTAATATTCATCAGTCCAAAAAGTGTCGGTCACTGATTATTCTAGTAGCAGCCATAATACTGCAAAACAGTCTTTAATGATGCGGTATAGTGTAGTATCTTTGATGCAGACATAAAAAAAACAAACAAAAAAAAAAACAGTCCATTGAACATTTCGCAGTACTTGGATAACTGTAATCAGCAACTTTGGTGTCTAAAGTACTTGGATAGAAGAAGTAAGGGCCTCATTGAAAGCATGTTGTTGAAACACATGAACTGCTGTGAGTAACTTAATGTACATGAATATAACAGTTATTTGATAATTATATGTTTTCCATACGACTCAATATAGCGCTTACTGTGAACGTCTTTGAAATAAATATAAAAGCACCTCAGAGTCTTACAGCATCTTGACATTCAACGTCTAGGAATGTTATTGCGCAAGTGTTCAGCGCCTTCCAAAAGGACCTCAAGCCTTCGCTGTGTTGGATCCACAATGATATTTAACTAAAAAAAGTAACACGAGGTTTTGCATTGGAGAGAAAACGTTACATAGAACTCACACCTTTCTACAATTAAACATGGGGAAAAAAAAAAAACAACATGCTGTGGCTTTACATTTGACCCCCTCTATTTTGATCTCCCGAAATAAATTGGGCGGTGGAAAAAAAAGACCGAAAACACCCTCCACACAGTGAGACATGGCGGTGGCAGCATCATGCTGTGGTCTGAGTTGATGGGATCGGTACCGAGATGAAAACCTAGTCCAGGAGACTGGAGTTTGGAGTCAGTCTTTTTGCTCCTTCCATACGGAAACATAAACAAACAAACAAACAAAAAAAAAAAAAAAAAAAAAAACACAAGAAGCTTATTTCCGAAATGGAGGCGCGGCCAGGAGCAAATATGAATTATGATCCGCCCTCCACGAACTGCTCGGAGGAGACTGAGTGACAGACCGAAACACACAGGAGACCAGCAGGAGAGAGAGAGAGAGGAGGGAAGAAAGAAACAAAGGAAAAGAAAGGAAAGGAAGGAGCAAAGAAAGAAAGACGCAAAGAGAGGAAAAAATAAATAAAGAAGAGAACGCTCCTAACTTTGGGAAGAGGGACTTTTTTTATATATATTTTTTTTATTATTATTATTATTATTATTTTTCTTTTCCCGTGCCGGACGCAGACATGCGCTGGAAAAGTGAAGTCAAAGTGGAATGCTGCGCGGTGAGCGACGGCGAGGGCGGATCTCTGCTGTCCGACGGCGAGGTGAGCGCACGACGCGCGTCTCTCCCCACCGCGCCGCTGCAGTCCAGACGGGCGCCGCGGAATAAAACGCGAGTGGAAATTGCTCTCCGCCCAATGAATCCGGAGCGAGAGCTCCGGCGTGTCATGGTGAAAAAGCCCGGCCCTCTCCACCCCGACGGCTCGGCGTTTTCGCAATTTGAAGAAATGTCAAAGAAAATTGCCCCCTCCCCTCGAATCCTGCAATTAAAACTCAAGTAGTTAATGAGACCTCTTCACCTTTTGGTTGCTCCGGGTGGAACGTTTGCGGCGAACTTAAGCTCCTTTTAATTGCTGTTATTAAAAAAATCAGTCCTCCCTTTTTTCTTTTTTTTTTTTTTTTTTTTTTTTTCTCCGCCAGACTTCGCGCAGGTTTCCTGATTGACGCGTGAAACGGGTCTGTTGGTTGGTTTAACCTTTGTCTCTTTTTTCATATTATTATTATATTATTATTATTATTATTATTATTATTATTATTATTATTATTATTATTAGTGCCGAATCACAAGTTCTGAAACCCAAGAACATAAGTGCCGGGCTCAAATGTTTTTTCTGGTTTTTTATTTTTTTTTCTAAGTAATGGTAATCTAAAGTAATGGTAATCAAAAGCTGTTGTTTTCCGTAGGCGCGCGTTGTCAGGTGAAAGGTGAAATGCATTTTTTGGGGGCGCGGGGGTGGGGGGGCATTTAAGGCTCCAACACGCCGACATCCTCCTCTTGTCGCGCAGCTTCTCGTCATGTGTGAGGACTGCAAGGGAGACGGAGAGCTGCCGGACGAGCGCGCCGAGGACGGGCGGGACATGATGGTAGGCTGGAGTCCTGGACGGTGAAACGCGCGCACGCTTGGAGTTGGGCGTTTGGTTGGCAGCCTCGAGAAAAAGAAAGAATATATATATATATATAAAAAAAATATATATATATCTGTAATAAATGTAAAGAAAAAAAAGTTTTCAGGAGCCTGTGCGTCGTTTTCTAACCGGTGTGGTGACGGGTGTCCCGCAGGGCGCGCCAGTGGAAGTTTTGGATGAAGACACTTCATCTCCGCCGGCGATGGCCTCCGCGCCTCTGCTGGGCAGGAGCGTGTGCGCCAACTGCAACGAGGAGATAGTGGACAAGTATTTATTGAAGGTGAAAGAGACAAACAAACACAGACGCTGTTCTCGAGGTTCCATGCATTTCAAATAAAAAAAAAAGAAAAAAAATTGTTTTCGTTGCTTTGCGGCGGCGTTTGTCTACACATTCAGACAGCGCGTCTCCTCCTAACTCATCGCATCTTTTTGCTTTAGGTTAACGACTTGTGCTGGCATGTGCGCTGCCTCTCCTGCAGCGTGTGCCAAACCTCGCTTGGCAGCCACGCCAGCTGCTACATCAAGGAGAAGGAGGTTTTCTGCAAACTGGATTACTTCAGGTATGCGCGCTCCACGTTTCGCTGTTGTAGATTTCATTCTACGGTTGGGTAAAATCCCAATTATTGCCAAAAAAACAACAACAAAAGAAAACAAAAAACAAAACAAAAACAAAAACAAAAAAAGCATTGACAACAATTCGACTTATATTGCATGTTACATAGAGAATTTGCACCTCAACTTGTCTTTGTATAATAATAATAATAATAATAATAATAATAATAATAATAATAATAATAATAATAATAAAATAATGATGCCAAAATATTTTCGATTTGTGTGCATTCTTAATAAATCTAAAATCTCAACAAATGTGTTCAGAATTAAAAACTATTGGAATAAAAATAAACAAATAAATAAACAAATGTCCAGTAAGGATGCAGGATTTCTCTTATTATCGTGTCATGTTATTTTGCAGGAATAGTACCACAAAAAAAAATGCAAATAAAAAATAAAGTCAGCAAACTGTCACAAAAATAAATAAATAAATAAATAAATAAAATAAAAAACTGTGGCCTTATTCGGAGTTGCGGTTGACGTCGAAAGCTCTTCTTTCGCAGACGGTACGGCACGTGGTGCGCGTGCTGCGGCAGGAACATCCACTCCACGGACTGGGTCCGCAGGGCCAAGGGCAACGTCTATCACCTGGCCTGCTTCGCCTGCTTCTCCTGCAAGAGGCAGCTCTCCACCGGGGAGGAGTTCGCCCTGGTGGAGGGCAAAGTGCTCTGCAGGGTCCATTACGACTGCATGCTGGACAACCTCAAGAGGGCCGTGGAGAAAGGTGAGCGGGCCGCAGCGGAGCGCGGCGCGGTGCGGCGCCTCCAGACCGGAAGGGAAAACCTCTGCAGCGTTCACAAAAAAAAAAAAAGAAAAAAGAAAAAAAGTAGTTTAATGTAATTGGAGAACAAGAGAGTCTTATTTGGATGGTCCTGATGAGAGCCTTCTGCTGCAGGAAGCAGCGTTAACATGGAGGGAGCCGTGCCGACGGAACAAGAAATCAATCAGCCGAAACCGTCCAAGAGAGCTCGAACCAGCTTCACAGCCGACCAGCTGCAGGTTTGTAAGATTACAACAATAGTGAAATAGCTTCATAATATATTTTCTTCTTTTTTTTGCAATTCAGTATTTTAGTTTCTGAACAAATTCATTCAAAAGATTCGTTCAGGTAATATTTAAGTAGTTCCCCCAAACTCCCACCCCCTTTTATTCTGTTGAGAAAAATAAACAAATTGATAACTTCGGCCTAATTAAAAGCAATAAAGTAAACAATCTGAGGTTTGCTTCTTCTTACAACTGTGGCTAAAGTGGGAGGCCTGCATCAGACCCCTTGTATTTGTATTTTAAGTGATTGTTTTACGTTTTATGAGTCAAAGCTTCTGACTGACAGACGTTCACGTTAGAGAGGCACCAAAGTATTGGTCAAGAGAGCGGAATATGAAATTATTCCTTTAACTGGCAAATCAAATCTAAGATAAATAGTTTTTTTCCCCTTATTCCTTAAATGGAATAAAACCAAAACCTAACCTCATTTTGATGCCCCTTTTTTGAATTTGACAGAAAAGTTCAAAATTCCTGTATATTTACATATTACATATGCTTTGATGCTTAGTAATTTCTTCTCTTTTTTTGTTAAATTTAAAACGTTCAGATCTAATAACATTTTGGCCTTTTGTAGTTCTCAGAAATAAAAATGAATTGCCAGCAGGTCAGACTTAAAAGAGAACTTACGCCTGGCGTTTTATCCAGTCAGTGCAGTGAAAAACCCCCCATAAGATCCTGTATAAAAGTTAAATGAGGATGACTGTCAATACCAACGACAGGCATTAATAATTGTTTTCAGTATCGATTATTAAAACAACAGTAATCTTCAAGCAAACGATAAACTAACAAACCTCCTAGTACAATTAGCCAACTTTCATCCTGGACATTTCCAATTATTATCAATGAACCAAGAGTTCCAAAAATTTATGTAATGCAGAAAGTTACCACAAATTACACGAAGCCTCTATTTCTCACTGAATATAAGCCTAACAATAATTCCTCCACCAATTTCCTCCTGTTTGCAATGCGTTTGAGACAAGTGGAGTCAGCTGAAGGGGCTTCAGCCGAACACGGCAGAGCGGCTCTGTGGGGCCACACAAGAAGTGACTTTCCTCTGCTTGTTGACATGCAGGTGATGCAGGCTCAGTTCGCTCAGGACAACAACCCCGATGCTCAGACTCTGCAGAAGCTGGCAGAGCAGACTGGCCTCAGTCGGAGAGTCATACAGGTTGGTGCACAAAGACAAAACACGTCACGGTTGATCGCGAGATATTGGTCGGTAGGAACGTACGTGGGTTTTGAGCTTGGCGAAGGTGTGTTTTGTGTCGAATGGATTTATATTTGCATGGCTGCTTGGTCAGCGTTACTTTTTACTCTTTGGCTGAAAACTATATGTTCTCCAGCTGTGTGCTGAATTCCATGATTTAAATCTCTTCCGCCTTTTAGGTCAGGCATATCTCAGTCATATTTGTTTGCGTTGAATCTTTCTCGAGTGCAACAGCAGTTTTTCCTTCCTCCATAGACATTTTAGTGACTTTTTTTCAAAATTACTGTCTGTTTTGTGAGCTTGTCTGCTGGTTCCTACAGCGAGATGCTGTTCTTTGTCATTTGAGATGATAGTTGATCCATGTCCAGTTACAGTGCAGTTATTATTTTTTATTATCAATGTGATTTGTAATGCAGGTCTGGTTCCAGAACTGCCGAGCTCGCCACAAAAAGCACGTGAGCCCCAATCACACGTCGAGCACTGCCATGGCCTCCCTGCAGACCGGCCGCCTGTCCCAGCCCACCCCGACCCCTGAAGAGCTGCAGTACACAGCCTACGGCGGCCCAGAAGGCTCAATGCTCTCAGCGCTACACTCCTTCATTGACAGTGAGAACAAGACTATTTTTTTAAGCAAGAAAAACAATAAGAGCATTTTAAACATTTGACCAAAAACCGATTTTTTTTTTTTACTTGTGCCTTTTATATGTGGTTTTGTCTTTTATGATTATGGTCAAGGGTGGTTTTTGTATTTTCTTTTACCGATAAATAGTTTAAGTATCTCTCATTAATGGCACTCAATAGTCAAATAATGGGGCTATCCTAAAAACAATAAAAATAAAATCAATTGTTAGTATTGCTCGTGTTAGAAACTCTAGTACTATTACTACTACTACTAATAATAATAATAATGATTGATGAGTTGAATTCGAGTTTTACACAAACAAAATTTGACATTATACTATTCTATTGCTACTAAAATGTGCACCTCTGTTTTAATTCTGGTTGTGAAAACTCAGAAAACAAGAATGCTTATAAAAAGGAAAAATCTTAGGTAAATAAAATGCTAAACATGGTGGAAAGGGAGACTCATCTAATATAAATAAATAAATAAATAAACATCAGATTAGATGTCAATGCTAATTTTGATTATTACGGCTTATAGTTACTATTATTCTATTTTATTTCTCAGATATAAATAATGTAGGCTTTGAACTGAGCAGTCTATACACTACGAAGAGTCTGTGCTCAGGACGGCCCGGTTGCTCTGATTTTCCTGGACCTCGGATCAAGCCAGTTTCCTGGCCAGTCGAGCGTAGTGCAAACCATGCATTGCTAATTTGGCAATGTGGGCAACATCTAAGTCCTGCAGAAAAAGGAAATCAGGAAGCTTGTCAGCAGAGATAAATGTGAAATCGTCTAAAACATCCAAGTCAACTGCATTTTACCTTCATAAAGCACAGTGAGGCTACCTGAAGGTCACTCAGCTCATAACTGATTGTGGAAACGTCAAAGTGGCTCACAAGTGGCTTTGATTCTGTGGTTCCTCTCTGTTCCTCCAACATTGGGGTCTAAATTAAACGTGAAACTTTCACTGTATCTAAAAGTGCATTCAAGGTCCCTGAGCAACACTACTTCCTCTTTTGCATGTTAGGATTTTGTTCTTTAACTTTCGTGGGCGTTGCTCCACAATTCTTTCAAGGTTGTAGTTATCCCTGTTGTGCATATTGTTGTTTTTTTTTCCTCTCATCTTTCCAATGTTATGTTCGGATATAGCCCTCTGTTTGCAACTAGCTATTATTGTAGAAATGACCCTTGTGGGTTGCCACACATCTGATAGTGCAGTTGACTGCTGGCATGTCAGCAGTTGTCCCCATGATTTGTGTTCGCCATCATGGAGTCTGATATGAAAACTTGAGTTTTCATCATAATAATGAAAATGATAAGAATGAGCGATTTCACTGTGTGTAATGAAACTGAAGAAGTTTTTCCCTTTTTTGAATTAAATAACTCAAGCAAATTAAACAAACAGTTGTATTATAGATATATAAAAGCTCTTTCCCAAAACCTTTAGAGTAAAACAAGTTTGAAATATCACGATTGTTTTTTTATTACTTCACAAGCAAACCTGCATCGTAATGATGTCGTAATAACTCGGACTCCGTTTTCTGTTTGCAGTACACTCTCCTCCCTCCATGTTTCAGCCGCTGCTGCCTGCCCACGCCATGACCTCCTTGCCTGTGTCTCACGCCTAGCTGCTCTCTCTCTCTCACACACACACGCACGCGCACACACACGCACACACACCCCCGTACAGCTTCAGACCTCACCAGCGTTTCTTCTCCATAACCAGCTGCAGTATTTTGATGCTCAAGGTAAATATGATTTGATGTTCATCACATAATTTCATTCAAACTTCAAGAAATTCATCCTTCCATGTCTGTATTTAAAAAACAAAAACATTGTTGAAGACCATGACTTACAGTCCTCTGTGTACTGTATAATGTGGAAATGCAAAATTTTCAGTGTACCTCATAGAGCTGTGACACACGGCAGTATATTTGTTCATGTTGTTGGTGACAATGTCTGACTGTGCTACTCCATGTTAAAAGCCAAGAGGCTTGAAACTCCGTATGAAGGTGAACATGAATTTGTTTTGTATAAATGTTGCAATTTAATTTATTGTATGTGAAGTTTCTGTTTCAAGAATAAAGGACTAATTTCACAAACTTTAAGGAAATGATTGAAAACCTACAAATTGTGTTGACATCTCTGCACAGCACAACATTTTATTGTTTTACAAAACATATTAGCTTACAAATCCTACAAGAACATTTTTCACATGCAATTCCAGAATGTCAACTCTGCACATTACATACATTTGAACTCTTTTCACGTCAGACACCTCAGAGCTCTGCGTCTTCACAACGTTTCCTTTTCAAGAGATTCTGGAAGAAAACAGAGTCCAATTTTGCCAGCAGGGAGGATTTACTTGTGTCTACTTGCAGACTGTGGTTGACCAAAAGAATCCTATTTTCAGACGTGGGAGGGAGCGGAGGGCATATAAAAACAAAAGTTTTACAACACTTATCAGATCTGAAGTATTCCCCCCCGGTGGGAACGAGACTTAAGTCCCAGCTACACGCACAACAACAAAGAGAGGCGTACGATTCAACTGGGGGTGCAGCCGCTATTCAGAGCAACACCGAAAATGACAACATGTCACATGTGCGCCATGCCCCACTGACACGCTACATGCTTCGTTTGTCCTGTTCCTCATCCACAAGAACCGGTGTTGTGCTTTCATGGAACGCCTTCATGTCCCGGCGTGTCCAGCCCAAACGGGTGCCGTGGGTGTGTAAAGTCTGGCAGCGCTGTCACTCCCGAGGTACCAGGAGGGCAGGCTCTCATGTGTGACACACACTCAAGGCGAAGGCTCACAAGCGTGAGTTGACTTTCAAGAGTCAGAGATTAAAATCATTTAAATGACAGACGCGTAAGTCCACCCTCCATAAGAAATAAATTAAGCAGAGTGGAGTGTTTTGAGACTCAGAGGACAGTGAAGATGCTCATTTATTCAACGTTTTTTTCCAAAAAATAACGGACACAAAACTTTACATCTTATTCTCTTTTCTAGAATTAGTCTCAAAGGGTAAAGACATAAAAAAGATGCCTCCTACTGGGTTTTACAATCAAACGCAGTTAAACAAATGAACGCCCGACTGCATCTAGCACATAGATGGGAGGAAACTGCTTCGAACTGGGCTCAGAACTCCCACAAGAGTAAGTCAGCAGCTCCGTTTAGGATGCAGTGATAGAATAGTATCAGACTTTGAAAAGTTGTGTAAAATATTCACAGTTTTAGATATACTTTACTGCAGTCGCAATAAAAAAAGGGGTTGGTTGTGCTGCACTGCACGTGCCTTACAGCATTCAGCTGATTTTTAAAGTGGCATCAGTTTGGTAAGGATGTCAGCTGGCTAAGAAAAGCCATGTCTCCTCGTAAAAAATAAGCCTTTGTGCAATCTTTAATCATTTCTAGCGTCTTCTGTAGCCCATAATAGTTAACATTCATTAACTTTCATATATTTTTCTCCAGTTCACACATTTGCATACCTATGTATCAGCACCAGGGAAACAGCAATAAAACAGGACAATTTAAAACAATCATCAAAAATGTAAACAATGCCATTCATAAAAATGTTACCACACACATTCTTAGGAGAATATTATGACATATTTTGAGCTATAAGGTCAGCAGTGCATTTATCCTTCATCAGTAGTAAATACAGAATATGGCATGTAAAGATTACTGGCTCCCTCACATGGCAAAAACTGGAAACTACAGAAGCTTAAAGTGCAACAAAAGCTGAGGTTACTGCAGTCCCAATAAAGAAATTTGTTGTTCCACAAGAAACCTTCAGTGAAACTTGACTGCAACTGTAACTAATACGATTAGTAATAATAATTTGACAGCAGACGTCCAAGGACAGCTATCTTATTTAAAGGGTTTAGGCTTGGTGTAAACTTGCAGAGTCTGAATCAAATCATTATTTTTCTTTCGAGAAGCTCCTGCCAGTTAAACTGACATTTGACCGTTTACCGCCTCATCGTCTTCTTCTTGCAACTACGCGCAGTGGTGTCGACGGTCTTTCCATTATTTCTACAATCATTCTTTTCTGGAAGATCTTCATCAGGTTCGGGGTCATGTGGTAGGGCTTGCTTGGCGAGCCGTTGTTCACCTCCAGATCACACACTACAGCGAGACAATATCAAAGACATTTGTGACAATGCAACACTTTGAAAATTGAAAACCTCTACGTGGTGATACGTCATCCATTTATGTTTATTCAAAAAGAAATGATCACATTTTCGTCTGTTTCATTAAGTTAAAAAAGAAGAAGAAAAAAAAAGAAGTCCTGTACAAAACCGAAACACAGATTAACCTCCAGACATACGTGTGTATTATACTGAATATTAAAACAGCACAACATCTGAACATCCAAGAATCCAATAATAATAATAATAATACAAATAAAAAGACTACCAAAAATGGCTTTGAAATCCTTTTATAAACTTTATCCCAAAAACTCCTGGTGTTAAGTCTAAAATTACAGAAGGAGGATCATTTTTTTTATCCCTTTGTTCGACAACTAGGCACATAAACTAGCGGCTGCAATCACTTGTCCTGAAAATACTCAGGTTCTGTCCAGATTTTAAGCAATAGCCATAAAATTCTTGCTAAAGTCTTAACCTCCCACAAAGTCTTTGTGTTACAGTACATACAAGGGGGTAATAAATGAAATGAAATGATTGTGTGGTGAACTGAAAACAAGAGTTTAGCTGGGTGTAGTGTTCAAATCACATTCGGATTTGTGTTTACAATCATCAAGGGTGAAAATCACCAAAAACAAACGTGGGAAACAACAGCAAAATAATCATGCTGCAGGCAGTAAATTAAACACACGATTCCTTTACTGTAGGGGAATCAAACAGGTCATGATTTCACACCAAAAGACCAAAGTGCCATAAGAAAGTGCCCCAGAATTCCAACACTGTTCAGGGTGATGCTTTACATCATAGTCCATCAGTGACATCTGTACAATTTAAGGTCCCCATGTTTGTTTCGTTTCTTTTGAGAAGAAACAAAACAAAACAGAAAAACAACATGTCTCCGCTTGTGCATCCATCCTGTATACTGATGTGCATCCTCAAAGTAAGGCAGAGGTCAGCAGAAAATACAGAGAAACATGAAGAAAAGCATAGAAGACAAAAAGGCAAGTATCTGAACTGGCTCATGAGAGGAAGTGAAGCCAAGTGTTTTTTTTTTTTGTATTTTTTCAGTCCTCTGTGCTTTGGGACCTGAACTGTTCACATGTCCTTTCATGTTCAGATCATCCCTGCATCCAGTTTAGATGTTTAGCCCTCGAGAACTTGCAGAGCCTCCACACACAAAGCAGATATGGAGAAGTGAGTCAGAATCGAAAGTTCAGGAAAGAAGCGCCTGCACACCGCTCAGGAGGAAGCACTCGATTTAGCACGCTCCTCTCCTTTGCGGAGGATCTTGTGCAGGCCTGGAGATACGTAGTAGGGCCTGGAAGAAGAGCCATCGTTCCTCTCCAGGTCCTCACCTGAGACCGTATCGCAGCACAGAGGGACAACAGCAGAGGCAGGTGAGCAGTGCAAGAGAGATAGAAGGAGAAAGATAGGTAAAAGCTTAGTGGAGAAAGTAAATAAAAGCAGAATAGGCAAAAGTGGAGCAGTGAATAACTAGGAATGGCTATTAGTCATTTAGAGATAGCTTTGTAGAGCTCCCGCATCCCCACGCGTAATCTACAGCTAGAAGTTTATAAAAATACTGGATACTTACAAAAGCATAGGAACAGCGTGTCCACACACATGGCATAAACATTAAAAAAGCCACTTGTGATCATGAACGACCCAATTATCAGCGTCTGAAAACAAAAAAAATCAAAAGATGTTTAGCTTGCATATCATTTTGTTTTTATGCAACAAACAACAGAATGGGTCAGATTCGGTCAGAATGAGTTCCTAACTAAATTCAGCTCTCCTTGCCCGTTGTTGTATATCACACACACTATGATGTATGTGCAGCCAGTGATTTAAATTTAACTTTAGAATTTTCGGTATCTTTCTACCGAAAAAAAAAAAAAAAAAAAAAAACTATATTCAGCAGCGCACTCTAATGCAGAGTATAGTACTTGTTTAGAGTTTTATAAAGTCCAAAGGACCCCAAAGCTCTTCACACTACATTCAGTCATTCTCTAATTCATTTACATGTGAAATGTAAAGTTATTTTTAAGTTCAGTATATTCAAAATAATTTTTGCCAGAAAAATTTAGAAACATTCTAGGCCAATAGCTTTAATTGGTGGGAGTTAATCTGCATTCATTTGCATTACAATGACATTTTAACTTCTCACCAGAAGGGGGACCCAATTGAAGTTTAGTTGAGGTACCATATCTTGAACCATTGGTATTCTTTTGGAGAAGAAGAGAAATGCAAGAACCCCTGAAAAAACAAACATTTTATTTCTAAAGGATAAAATCTAAAGAATGTGTTAAAAAGATACAGGTAAAATAATGCTAAATGATCAGTATGTCCATAATTCAACATTTTCTCCCCTCTTCTCTGCAACTCACTCGGACAAGAAGGAAAACAACAACTTTCAAGTTTTACTACAGGTTCCCAGTTGAATTTAGCTGTGAACTTCTGCCTCAGTCTTGATTAAATCGTTTTGCCGTCAGGTTTTCCTTCCTTCAACTCTGACTGGCTTACTTGTATTTGCTGAGGAAAATGATCAACACCCTTCACAAGGATGGTAATCCCCAAAAAGCTCATTGATGAAGAAGGTGTTTGTTCACAGAGTTCTGCATCCAGGCATATTATCAGAAAGTTGAGTGGAAAGAAGAAATGTGACAAGAAAAGGTTCACCAGAACAAGGGAGAACCTCAGTCTTAAGACTGTCAAGTGAAATCAATACCCTAACACAACAGTACAATTAATTTAGGGACAAAAGCAGCTAAATTCTAAACTAAATTCATGTCAAACCTTCCTGATTTTTATCTGTAAGAAAAAAAAAAAAAAAAAAAAAAAAAAAAAAAGAGAACGCCAGAGAGATTTTCCTTCCATTTAAAGATGTGAACTATTTTGTGCTGGTTTATCACATAAAATCCAGCTGACAATTATGCTGAAGTTTGATGTTGGA